TCAAACTCAGGTTCCCCCACTTACTAGTCTAGGACTTCTGACAAGTCAATCTCTAAGAGCCTCGTTTTATCACCTGTAAAATGGGGATGAATCTATTACTGTACTTATATTCCTACATTTACCCTTATAATACTAATGCCAAATGCCTGGGACAGAGGTTGGCACACAGTAGGGATTTAATAAAAAGTGAAATACTATTATTTTTCAATTGGAGGTTGTTATGTAAGAAATATTTGTGCATCATCTATGTGCCAAACACTTTGCTAGAGACAAAAACCTTTGCTTCCTCCAAGGTGCCTACAATCAGCAGATTAATGAAGCAGAACCTTGGTGGCATGAAATGGGTACTGAAACCACTCAAAGAACATAACTGGAACTCAGGATTATACATCGAGATGATAAGACTACATGAATCAACACAGAGCAGTATTCCCAAAAATGAGTTACTTGGGGGAAAAAAAGAATTATGTGAGAAACAAGCTATACAGTTCTCTCTCATAATTCTTCTCTATACATGGTAAAGCTCGAACAAGGGAACCAGATATTTCTCAAACTTATTTGACCATGAAATCTTTTTGTCAGGGAACAGTTCAGAGGCTCGCTGTTTGGGGGTATGAACTTCAGGAAAGCCTGGTTTAGACTCCCTGATATAGAGCACAAAGTCAGAAAAATGGCTGGATGATCATGGAAAAGTCACCCTCAAAGAGTAAGTCAAATGTTCCAAGAATGGGGGCTGGCCCCGTGGCAGAATGGTTAAGTTCACGCACTCCACTGCAGAGGCCCAGGGTTTCACGGGTTTGGATCCTGGGTGCGGACATGGTTCCGCTCATCAGGTCACGCTGAGGTGGCATCCCACATGCCACAACTAGAAGGACCTGCAACTAGGATATACAACCATGTATCGGGGGGATTTGGGGAGATAAAGCAGAAAAAAAAGAAATGTCCCAAGGAAGTCCTCAATCAAAAGAGCCTGAGGACTCTAAATTCAAGTTGCCTAATTGTAAGGAGACTTGAGCAGGGAAAAAGAAATTAGAAATAATATTTACTGAGCATGTGCTGTGTAACCAGTACCATCGAGTGTACATGATATTGAACAATCCCAGAAGGGGGCCTCATCATCAACATGATTATTATTGTACAGATGTTGAAACTGAGAAGACTAAGTCCCAGGGAAGTAGATTAATTTCCCAATGTCACAGGATACAGAATTGAACCAAATCCTGACTCAAAAACCTGAGTTCTTTCATATTTTCATCATGCATAAAATAATATCAGACACAATTCTGACTACAATAAGGCAAAAGATCAGCCATATGGTGAAACATTTTGTATAACATCTGTGATGGTGATTTTCAAACCTTGCTCCTAAGCAATCTCAAAGAAACAACTATTTGTGCCATGGGAGAATTCGTTTTATCATATGCCTTAGAAGGGCAGGTCTGAACTATGTTTCTACCCAATAGTCATGAACTTGTTGTGCAATGGCTACCACAGGCAAAAATTTCTCAAGTGAGTGAGAACCTGTAAAGGTGCTCCCTTCTCAAAAATGAAGTCAGTCACATAGAATTATCCCACATTGAAAAATGAACCAGGTGACAAGTATCATGAAGTGATCACAAACTCTCAAGGTAGAGTTTGCTCAATGAAGGACACACTTGGACAAAAATAAGAATCTTGCTGTGGTTATATTAGGAATGACACAAAGTGGTGAAGTCATGGAAAATGTTTGACCTGCCATCACTCTCTTACTGGAGATTTGAATAGAAAAGTCAGCCTAGTGCTTTGACTTTGCATAGAAGGTATATAGACATAAGGCTCTAGAAACGGATTCATTCAAGTCATCAATAAATCTTTGCTTTTGAACTATCAGGGGCACATGTATGTAAGTTGTTACACATTTGAAAAGCTGGTCCCAGGACCAAGCCCTGTGACCTTTCTATAGCACAACACTCCATAATGTTGGCTGCAAAGCATGCACGAGATTAAGAACTCCAGACTCCCCCGCTTACAAGGCTTGGGACTCTGGGCTAAAGACGTCAACCTCCAATGAAATTATTTTAGGTGGTAAGGATTCCATTTGGTAGGTGAGGGAATTGAGCAATCAAGCGATTTCCCTACAAATCTATAGTCAAAAACAGAATCGAAAGCTGAATTTACATTGTTTATTGAATCATGCCGTTTCTTTAAACTGTATGAAAACATTCCAAAAAAACTAAATGTGATGTATATCAATTCTTGCATATGGTGACAGAATGAATCATTTTTCCTGTGTACTTGAAGCATGAAATCTTTCCTATTCTAGAAAGGCATGTTGAAGTCCAGAAACACGCCTGACTTCTCCATGACCTGTAAATGGAGGTGGAAAATCTAACAGGCAATGAAGGCTGCCAGTGGAAATCACAGATGAAGAAATGAACATCGAAATATCAGTTTTCTCATCAATTATCTTCCACTAGTCCTATAACAATAGACGTGACTTTGTTACTTTGTGGAATAAAACAGGTAGAGATGATATTCAGCAAGTAGCCGACAAGGCGAGCCAGGTGGGGTTATTGTCTGTTTTATGAACTGCGTCTGTCCTGACTGGTTGGTGCTGCTGCCAATCTAGTTATTTTCTACTTCTTCCAGAGAGCAGGAGTTAATTAAAGCATAAAGGAGCCAGGCAGGTGAACAGAGTGGGGACAGTGGCAAACAATAGAACACATGTCTTAGTTGAAGTGGACACCCACTATTCAACCCCAGCATAGCAAAAGAGGCCCAATGTTGCCAAGTTTTCCAATTTTTTTTTTAGAAGCAGCTAGAAAGCCCTCCATATTTAAAAGTATTCATTCCTAATTCAATCTCTAAAATGCTGTTTGTCAACAAAACAGTTCTATAGGCCAGATCAGGAATCTGAGCTGCCAGTTTCCTATTGAGGTTTGTCAGTCTGTGACTGCTAGAATAGTTCCAAACTACAGTTAAGTGTGTAGATTTGGTCCACCACCCCGGCCCTGATGGTGTTGGTGTGCCATGGCCATTGGATTTCGGCAATTAGCTATAAATCATAAATATGCGACAAGAAAAAAAATTAAAATTTACTAACAGCAATAAAAGAGCAGACAATTCTTTCAGAGATACTTGAAGAAAATTTAAGTTCTAACTAGGAATATTTATTAACCTTTACTCTTGTCAATCATCCCTTGGTCTAATCTTTACTTTAAATGGAAATCACGATCCTAATATACTTTTTCCCCTCCCATTTACTCTCTTTCCCTTCTCAACCTTTTCTTAGGTTGAGATATAAGATGAGAGGACTTCTGTGGAGATGACATGAAATAACGCAGGTAATATGCATAGAACAATGCTCAGCACAAAGTAAGAACTCAAAAATTGTAAGCGCCTGCTCCTACTGTAAATATTATTTAGCTGTCAAAGCCCTCATAGGGCTGGTCTACAACTTGGGGAAGCTAATGTTAACTCTTACAACTGAATCCTTACTTAAAACTTCTGCTCACAGGATAAGTTCTGTACCCACCGTCGTTACCTATGTGTTTCTTAAATTAATCCCCATTTCTGTCCCTCTGAGACCGCTGAGCATCATTTGCACACCAGAACAAAGGAAAAGAAAGCGAGGTCTCTGTGGACCATTTTGCAACAAAGGAGGTAAGGGCCTCCACCTCTCTTTTTACCCTGGGAGATAGAGGTATTTTTCCACTTTTTTGTTTCTTTGTGAAATTGACTCATTCCCTCTTCCAAACTACTTAAACCAAAGCAGATGGGGGTGGTTTGAATTCATATGCAATACAACTTGTTCACTGATCCTTTTGCTACTTGCAATGGCTTCATGTATAATACAACATGCTGCCTGTTATTTTAAAAAGCACGTTATCATCTACTGAAAAGAAGTATAATTGATCCACAAATTCATTAAGTTAGCAAGTAATCAGTTAGCACTAAATAAGCAACAAGTTTTACTTAAATTTCCACATTGTTCTCTCCTGAGGTATAAGGTCAACCTAGGCATTAGTAAACTAGAGTCAGTGCCTGACTCAATATTTAGTTATTTGAAATTAAGACTCCAACTTCCTGTTACAGGCCCTGCAAGCAAACAGCAAACATAAGGGAATGACAATCACATGTCTGGAGAAGGAAATGATCCCTCAATCTTCTTGGGCTGCACAAAGGAGGATCAAGTCAGCAATTTCCAAGCACACCCTGGAGATAAGGAGCGGATGGCTCGGTACAACTCTTCCTCCCACTAGGGCCACTTCCTTAAGGGCCTTAATCTGCATGACGTGATGTTTCAGGAATGTGTTAAGGGACGGAGAGATATGAATACATGAATGGGAATAAACCAAACAAAATGATTTGCACCGTGCATAGGAAAAACAGTTTTTTCCTTTTTGTCTTTTTCTAATTGAAGTATAATTGACATGCAATATATCCGTTTCAGGTGTACATCATAGTGATGTGATATTTACATTTATTACAAAATGATCACCACAGTAAGTCTAGTAGCCGTCTGTCACCATAAAGTTATTACGATATTGACTATATTCCTGTGCTGTATATAACATCCCCATGACTTATTTTATAACTAGAAGTTGGTACTTCTTAATCATCCTTCATTCATTTGGCCCACTTCCCAAACCCCCTCCCCTCTGGCAACCACCAGTTTGTTTTCTATAGAAAAATAACTTTTGAAAGACTTCTTATAGACAGTGAAAGTCTAAATACTCTGTCTTATTTCCTGCTTTACAAATAAAATCATCATTTTGTCTCATCAAGTCATTTTCCCAATCAAATGCATTTGCAGTATTTCTCAAAAACAGGAACTGATTTGTCTTAAAAATGGAGTTTAAGGCTTTTGCCCCCAGGTTAACTCAGTGCCCAGTGGCAGGTGCAAGCTGCAGATGCTGTCTAGGTAAATATGTCAACGCAAGGGGAATATTTACTTCAGCACACAAGAAAACTAAGTATCAGTCTCACATAACTAGTTCAGTAGAATCAAAGAGATATACCTGCAGGTTTTCAATTTCTTCTTTGTGCTCCCTCTTCAAGTGTAAAATAGCAGCTTGGTATTCTGTAAGATCACAAAAAAAGGCAATTACAAAGAAGCACAAAAGTAGGCACAAAATTAAAGTGATCATCTCCAAGGTCCCAGAGGCCCTCCTACAAGTAAACTGAGTAAATAAAAGCCACAATCTGACACTAACCTGACAAGAGAGGTTGAAAACTGGGGCAAGATATGACGAGTAGCTCAGCATAGAAGGGAGATTTCCTTCCATTTAGCAAACCTTAAGTTTTGAGAAGCCCCAAATTGGGAAGATAGGATAGGGCTTTAAAAAAGAAAAAAAAGAAAAAAAGCATGATGGGTGTTCCAGATAAAGACTGGGTCAGGCACTTGTCTTTGAGGAGGAGTTGGAAGCTAACGCTCCAGAGAGAACAAATACAGATGTATTAAGAGCAGACACAGGAAATAAAAGAAAACTTTCTGTGTGAGATCAGAGAACTCTATTTTTAACTGTTTCCAAAAAAAAAATCTCCATTTGAATGCAAGGCTAAGCACATACTCAGGGCTGATCTCAATCTTTAGATCACTTCAGAGAGTCAAGACCATTTGTCACTTGGATGAGAGGATCTAGGGTGAGTTGAGGTTGAAAGGAGGACAAAAATAAATTTCTGGTCCAATTTTAGTCTGAGTCTAATAATGTTTATTCCAATAATAAGTTCCAAGTGTACACAGGAACTCCAGCCAACCAGTAAAACTACCATCCCACTGGCTAAGCATGAAGCAGCCAGGACAACTTTATTTCCAGCAGGACGGCTAAGAATGTGGGGTCACAGAACTATACAGGCTGCAGAGAACCACAAAGCAAAATGCCATGAGTAAACATTTTTGTGGGATAAGTCGGTCTTTTACAAACATGTTTGAGGTTGTAAGCATGAGTAAGAAAGAAGTCAGTTAGATGTCATTTAAAAATGTATGAAAAGACAGGCTATTTCCCCATGTGGATTTCAGAAATCAGGCACAAAAGTTTAGGTTTCTACTCAAAAGTGCATGAGGGAAATCTTTGGTAAATCTGTAAGAGGAGAGGAGTGTCGCTGTTGATTATTATGTCACACCACTGCTCTGATGGAAAATGTGTAATGTGTTCCACTGAGCTGTGAATCCATCAGCAAGTTCTGTGGGTTCTACATCCAAACCATCCCTTGAACAAGACCACTTCTCACCATCTCCACACCCACCGCTATAGTCCATCTTTTCCTTAGACCACTGCAAGACCCTAAAAAGGTCACTTGCTTTCACTCACCACCACCATAACCCATTCTCCTCACAGCAGCCTGAATGATCTATTAAAGGCAGGAACCAGATCATGTCCCATCCTTGGTCTTCCCTGCACTCAGAATGAACTCAACACACCCTACTGTGGCTCATGGGCTCTTCAAGATCTGGTTTCTATATAACTCTCCCTGCTTTTGCTCAATACACTTCAGGCACACTGGCTTTCTTGCTATTCCTTGAAATTGTCAAGTTCTTTTCTACCTCAGAATCTTTACTAATAGTGGGGAAAATATGGATTGTATTTACTGAGCACTTACTATATATATCAGGCATTATGTTAGTACTTCGTATGTATTAATTCATTTTGTCCCTGCAATAACCCTATGATGTAGGTACATTATCCCCATTACAGATGAAGAAACTGATGCACAGAAAAGTTGTGTAGCTTGTCCAAGGAAGCTGAATAAGTTGCAGAGCTAGAAAACATACACAATTCAATGGGTGAATGTATAAATAAATTGTAGTATATTCATAGAACAATACTACTCAGCAATAATAAGGAATGAACTATTGATAGATACATCAGCATAGACGAATCTCAAAGACATACGCCGAGTGAAGGAAGGCAGTCTCAGAAGGCTAACTGTTGTTTAATTCCATTGACATGACCCTCTGGGAAAGACAAAACCATAGAGGTGAAGAACAGATCACAGCAGCAGTGACCAAAGGTTAGAGACAGGGAGAAGGTTTGACTACAAAGGGGCAGCACACAAAGGAATTTTTGGGGTGATGTAACTATTCTCTATCCTGATTATGGTGGTGGTTCCATGAATCTATACATGGATTAAAACTCATAAAACCATAGAACCGAACAGAAAAAAAGTTAATTCTATTGTACATTAATTTTTAAAAATCTAAAAATATTTTACTTTTAAATGTTTTCCGTAGGAGATTCAGCATAACACAAGAATACTTGTTACTACCACTTCTATTCATTATTTTCTTAAGGGTACTAGTAGAGGTAGTAGGACAAGAAAAAAAGAAAAGAAATAAATAAATATGCACGCACACATATATTTATGTATATAAAATAAAGGGAAAAAGCTATTATTCACTACGATTGCATATTTAGAAAAATCCAAAAGATTCTGCAGATAAAATATTAGAATATATGAGTTTAGTAGAGTTGATGGATATAAAAATCAGTATACAAAAATCCTAATACTAGCAACAGTTTAAAAAAGAAAACATTTACAGTACGCCTGCAAATACAAAGTACTTAGAAAGAACCTTAACAAAAATATGTAAGAGCTCATATAAGAAAATAGAAACATTACGTTGAAATATATTACCAAGAAAGACACAGATAAAAAGACCTATCTTTAATAAGACTCAATATTGTAAAGATGTTAATTTTTCCAAATTGATCTATAGATTTAATGCAATCCCATTCAACACTTTTTTTTCTTAAAGATTGGCACCTGAGCTAACAACTGTTGCTAATCTTCTTCCTCCTCCCCCTCCTCTTCTTCTTCTCCCCAAAGACTCCCCCAGTACATAGTTGTATATTCTAGCTGTAGGTCCTTCTGACTATGCTGTGTGGGACGCCACCTCAGCATGGCCTGATGAGCGGTGCCATTCTGCACCCGGGATCCGAAACAGCGAAACCCTGGGCTGCCAAAGCAGAGCGCTCGAACTTAACCACCCAGCCAAGGGGCTGGCCCCCCCAGTTCAACAGTTCTAAGTTTTATTTGAACTTAGGGAGCACATTCTAAAATGTACGTTGAAGCACGAAAGTGTAAAAAGCCAATAAAAGCCAAGTAACTCTTGAAAATATAAAGATAAGACAACTTGCCTTACCATCAAACAAGAATTATTTTTAACTATCACAACATAATTAAGGTGGTGTGGTACTGAAAGGAATAACAAATAGGTCAATAGAACAGACCAGAGAGCCCAGAAATACACCATCAAATTATGGTCACTTGACATGACAGAAGTAGCATGAAAGATCTTTGTTTACACTAAGAATGGTCTTTTCAAAAACTACTGGATGGGAAAAGAGGATGTTCATATGGAAAAACATGAAACTGGATCCTAACTTTATGACCAAATAATAATCTAAGTCAATTAAGAGCTAACTTGTAAAAAGCCAACCTACACATTTTTATAAGAAGATATGGCATAATATTGTTACAACTTCAGGATAGGAAAGGACTTAAGATTTAAAGAGCACAATATATAAAGGAAAAAAGTGATAAATTTGACATTAAAATTAAGAATGTCTTTTCATCAAAATACACAATAAAGAGAGAGAAAACACAAGCCACAGAGTGGGAGAATATACTTAAAACAAATAATCAAAGATCTACTATATATATATATATACATACATATATATATAGGAATAGTTCTTACAAAACTAAAGAAAATGAAAAATAGGCAAAAAATGTCAACAGTCACTCTAAAAACAGAACATACAAGTAAATATATTAAAAGGTGCTCACTCCATTAGTAATCAGGAATATTTAAAGTCGGACAAAACTGAGTGTTAGTGAAGATGTGGAGCAACGGAAACTCACATTCTTGTGGCAGGAGTGCAAATTGAAAATGTTTGACTTTTTCTAACAAAGTTGAAGATACTCATACCGCCATACCCAACAATTCTAATCTTAGGTACATGCAAATTAAAAAACTATAAAAGAAAAGCAAATAATATTAACAAGATCCAGAATAATGATGGCAACCAGGAGAAGGGGATTGAGTTGGGTTATAATCGAGCAGGTGGTGTCACATGGGTGGTTCAATGAAAAATTCTTCTTTTGCGTCTTATGTCATTTTTTAATGTATACCTAACATTAAAATACAAGGAAAAAAGATTGCTCTGGTTATACTAGTTTTCTCATATAACAAATAAAGATTATACAGGCACAAGAGAGACTCTAGATGCTTAAAATGAGAACAATTTAGTAAGTTTGAGTCTTGTATAAAGGTTGAGTCCTAACCCATATGATGATCAATATCTAAACCTTAATGAATTCCAAGCCTCCACAAAGTAGGCAAAGGCAGATTAGCCAAACCAGCCTTGCAAACAAATGCCCCTTGGGAATAACATCTACAATCTAAATAGAAATTATACAGAATATATTTTGAAATGATTCATCTTGTGTAAATAGTACCTGTTAGGGTGTGACAGATATAGTTACAACTAATTAACAGATTGATAGAGGAGATCACAGTAAAGCTAACACCCAGTAAATCTTGATTCATCTCCTCCTTAGACAAATATTGCTGCCAACAGTCCCGGTGTAACAGGTGGCAAGAAAACACTCCCATTCCTGACAAGGATGACAAAAGAGAGTCTCTGGGCAGCATGTAGAAGGAGGGAATTAATGCCCTCACTAGAAAGATGCTCACTTTGAGGGTTGACAAGAGAATGGTAAGACTACAAAGGGTGAGTCAAAGTTAGGTTGGTGGGTTTCAAATGTGTCTTGTCAGTGGCAGTCCCCTCCCCCTACATTTGTGTTTGTAAATACCTTGGCATGGGCCAAGGCAAATCCTCCCAGTCTCTTGGGGGTGAGGATGGTGAGGCAGAGGTCTCAATTCAAGACTAACAATGTTTTTGATTGTTAAAAAGAGAACTTGACCCTGGTATTCAGTAGCTCTGGAACACTATAAATGTGTGAAAAGGAGGAATAGAGATTTTGAATATCGGGGCTTGAAAAGGGCAGACCTCTCCGAAGCTACATTAGCCCAGTGGGAATTAACAAATGAATTGAAATAATCTAACCCACAAA